GGCCATAAGTTTAAGAAAAAGATCAAGAATTGATGAAATTTCCAGCTTCAAAAGAGTGATCAACAGGGTTTCAGTGCTAGGGGGCTCAGGGTCCTCCCCGCTTTCTTTGATAGCACTACACCACTGGCGAGAAAGCATATAAAACAGATTTAAAAGACATTATAACCAGAATGCAGTTGTTTTCTTAACATTTTCTTCAGGAAATTAAATACTTTTCTTTCAATTAAGATCTGATAAAAAGACAATGCAATTGGCGCAGGAAAGTTGCCAAAACTGTTGGAAGTTTTTTTCAAAACACATTTAAATTTTAGTTGGGCAGCTTCTTTGATTTTTTCAGGTAAATATAATTTCTATGACAACCAACCAAGTTTTAATATTTATTTCAGTTTTCTAAAGAAAAGGTTTTAGCAAATAAGGGTAAGATGGTCCTCAGAATATTTGACCGTTATTAATCATAAGGCTGAAGGTGGCGTTTTCTCATCATTTGAACATTTATTTTAGAGCTGTCGGTGCACTAATCGTAGGGCCATAAATAAAACTCCTTTTCTTTTTGAAGAAACAGTGGCCTTTTTCCGCCACGAGCAAAGCTCCCCAAAACCCCCCAAAAAATTGCAACCTGAAATAAGAGAAGAAAAGTCCCGGGAGAGAACAGCACCTTATAGAAACACCTTATTAACGACACGGCTGTCAATTCATCATAGACTTTCTAAATATAACTTGACTTTGAAAAATGAAAGTTGTAAAAAACCCACCAGTGTAGTCAGCAAAAAGAGAAGAATTAACAGTACCACTACCGATCTTCAGTCATCAACTCTGATGAGGATTTCCTTGTATAAAAATTCGCCCATAACATCGAGAGTCTTGTCCTCCAAAACGAAGTACCTCTATACACAGAAGACTTTTTCAGTGAAACCAAGATTCTAAAATATGTAATAAGAATTTAGAACTCTTTCGAATGCCATCATCTGTACGTTGTCATCAAAGACTATTGAAAGTTTTCCAAATAGAAAGGATGTTGTATCAATTGCAAAGGTTAAAGAACAAATTAGAAATATGTAGCAAAACAAATGCATTTGTAAACTAGATCTCTGATGAAAAATTTGAATATAAACGCTTCAATTGAACAAACGTCCCAGAGTTTTATCAAATGTCCTGGGAAGCTAGAGACAATAACTATGTAAAGAATAGGCTGCTACCCAAACTCTCAAGGTATAAAGGGTAAAAAATGCCCGGGCACTTCACCAGCTGATAAGATTGTTTGTAATCTTTAATTTAGTCTACCCTTTGGAAAAGTTTCAGGTTTTTTACATGAAAACAATGGACCTGAGCTCCATACATGAAGATCTAACTAATGCCGAAAATGAGCAGAGAAACGAATCTGGCCTGACTCTGTACGAGTTTGGTTCGGTCTTGAATATTTTGATTTGATCAAAATCGCACCTGGATGGGATTTATAAGCAACAGCAACGTCTTAAAGTGTTGTCAGTACATTTCTCTGAAGTAAAAAACAGCTAGATTGAGGTGCATGTGGGATCACTAAAAAGGTGGGGCGGGGGGGGGGGTGAAATGCGAAATGCAAAACAATCACAGGCCTGCACCAAATAGTCTCCAAAGATACTGCGGAGAGAAAAACATCCCTCTTTGATCCCGATGAGAATCCATCTGTACAAGGAGGACGCTTGTTAATAAAAATGAGGATGAGAGACTTGTCCCCTAATAAGCAAAAGGATATATAAACCTCGAACATGAGGGTATATCCCATTGTGCAGTCAACATCAGCTTTTATGCAACACGAAAGGTCAACCACAAAAGGAAAAAATCACATAAAGATAAATATATTATAAAGTATATCACCAAATTTAAATAATCCTCTGAGATGAAAAATCAAAAGGAGTAACAAACGACAGATAAGAATAAACCAAAAAGTCAAAGGTATAAGCAATTGGGCTTAAAATATGCTGTAGTTAAAAGTTTTTCTAAAACATCAATATATATCTATCTCCTTACTCTCGTTATGCAATAACAAACATATCACATAATACCGCTTTAGGTCAATTACTGAAATGGTGGATAACTTCACTTCGAATTATTTGACTTGACACAGACACAAAAAGGATGAAAAAATATCTGATAGACACTTCTCATGACACAGAATCATGTAGCTTTTATGAAGTATTCCAGGATGCCAATGGCCGACAGAATAGCTTTCTCTTAGATCGAACTTTTTTTCAGTTCCGATTACCCTTTAAAATTGAACAGTAGTCCTGATGCTGGACCCTTGAGCCTACTATCGCTAGCAAAATCCAAGGCATGAGTGAGTAAACACCTAATCCTAGCCAAAAAACAAAATTGCAAGCTTTACCATCATTAGAAAGCATTTGATTAACCAACATATGGACAGCCTTTTTTATCGTGAGTTACTTGAAAAACTGTCGAAAATATTTTTTGCATATTTCTAAAAGTATTGGTTACTTGCAACTCATATGCTGTGCTACACATGTTTCAAGACAGCAAAAAACCTAACTTGAGATGACAGAAATGGAACAGAATGCAAAGAGTAACAGCTTTTCGACGTTTTGGAGGCAAGTTTTGGTCACATAGCACATCATTATCAACTTAGCTGCTCTTTATTGTCGTTTTAACAAAATGACAGGCCTTTGTATATTTTAAACAGCATTTTTACGACTGATCCAAGGAGGAAAGATAGAACGGTTAAAAAACTTGAATGCAATTTCAAAGAAAGTGAGAATAAAAATATACACTGTAGTTAGAGGCAACAAATAGAAGCTCGTTCCTTATAGTGAATCTGACATAAAAATCACTTCAGTACCCTACCCATGATGGTATTGAAAAATGAACTCCCCACCTTCTTCTGGAATAAGCAAGACCATCCACCATCGTAAATCTTTGCAATTCCAACAGTGCAGTGAACAAATTATAGACGATCTTCAGCAGTGAACGCTCGGTCACTAACTATGCGCCCAACATTGTTGTGGCCTAACATGATTGGCCCAAACCAGGGGCGGATTCAGGGTGTCGCACAGGTCGCACGGAGGACCGTCAGATTTTCAGAATTTAGCTTTAGTCTTCAGTCATTGAAATAAGGCAATCGTGTTTATCACAATCTTTTATTTTCCTCCTTAAAGATAATACATTCTGCTCTCTTTACACAATGAACACAGGACCGAACTTTGTCGATCTCACACACAATGCTACGATTCAATTCAATATAGAAAAAGTTCCAATACCATCCTAGACCGTAAACAGTATGATTTTTAAGCATGTCGCCCGGGCCGCACAAATATGCAGGGCTCTTTGTTATGCAAATATTTTACCAAATCTCACCAATCAAAATTCAAGTTTTCACATATTTGTGCGGCACGAAAAGTCTGTAAACACTATGTTAGATTACTGTGCCGCACAACTGCTGGCAAGGGAAGATAGTGGATGAGGTTGTAAGTTGTGGAAGAGAAGAGTCCCAATTTTTTTTTATCTATATGGTGCACAGGAAGTGTACACTTCTGAATCTCAAGATATTTGCTGGAAAATTTGGAAAACCTTTTAAAGCGAAAAATGTTTGACTGAACAATTTGAGCGTTTCAGGGCCCCAGTCCCAATTGCTCTGGTTCTGGGGGGGCTAGGCCCCCATCATGGCTCCGCCCTTGACCATGAGGGAGGCCCCCTAGACCGCCTGCTGGGCAGTGTTAATGTGCGACCGTCAACTTTTATTCTGTATCCGCCCCTGCCCCAAACAAGGTGTTTGAGAGGACCAAAACAAAATGATAGTAACATGCATTTCCAAACTGAGCACCTTGACCTTTATTACGTCATTCCAATCAGTTTCAAACATCAAAGAAAAAATAAAGGGGCATTATATAAGTTGTGTAACATTAGGAAAAGCATCTAGTAAAAAAATGAAAAAAAACTTTAGCCTACAAAGCGAAAAAGACAATGTCAAACAAAGATGAATGTTTTAATAAAAAGCCTTGACTTTGTTTTTGCGGAAGGACAAGCTAAATTTCTATGACACACTATAATATAACAAGAAGGAAAACACTAGATGCAAGAAGAAGACAAGTTTGTTATCGAAAAGCCAAGCGAAGACTTTCTATGCCCGCATATAAATAAAGGCCATAGATTTATTTTCAAACTCGCAAATAGCTGTTACTTAATAACAATGATCAAAAGACAAGAACAACTCTTTTGACTTTTCTGCATAGCGGAGGGGGGCTGATAATAAGCTACTAAGATGGTGACAACCACCTAGGCCTGAACCCAGTAATTGGTTGAAGCAACATATGTATGGCTCGTACAAGGTGTTGGCATAAAATATTGATAGGAATAACTGGAGAAAAAAACCAAAAGAGAACCGAATGGAGCCATACAACAAGCCAAAGTAGTCATTTGCAATACAAAAGATTACTCCAAACTTTGGTCTCACTTGAAAAAGAGGGGAAAGCCGGGAGCTAAATGATTAAACCTCGAGCAATAATCCTCGGTAAGACACTTCCAATCACTGTTTAAGAATACGGGTACGGTTAAATACAATGCAACTCGAGAGAAAAAACTGAAAAGGGTCTCACCAACATCAACGTTAAGTTTAGCAAAAGAACTGAATGAGACCATGTAGAATGCCAATTTAGTCGTTTGCTTCGCAAGAAAAAACCTTCACTCTCCACATTCCAACTTCTGGTTGGCTTGTAACGTGTGAGGAAGAAACTATGCCAACAAACAGCTTATATGCCCAAAGCTAATGCACACTTACCCGCTTATTGCTTTACTGTATTCAATGTAATGCTTACTCGAGCACTGCTACAATGGACACAAACTCCACGATCGTGCCATCTATACAAAAGCAAAACCCAAGGGGCACCAAAAAGTCACATAATCAAGGGTGAATAAATCTCATCAATCAAGCTCTATAGGCTTTGAAAAAGGGTCAAAAATTTATGGAAATTGTTTAGCTTGAAAAACAGCTGTAAATCATATGTAACTGCTTCAAAACATGTAGTGTCTCAGTCGCTGTTTTTTAAGATAAATTGCTTTCGAAAAATTCAGAATAATTTTCCTAAAGCTATGGGCATGCTTTTTTTAAAAAAATTAATTAAAAAACTATGAATTGACCAGATTTTTCAACGCTGTTTCACTTCGATGACTGGCAATTTATTTTACTAAATGTTATGAAATGGCCGATGTTTATCAATCGGTATTCTCCAGAGTTGCTATAGAGATATTAGAGGTTAGACCTAAAACGCTTTAGTGCAGGAAAATTTGATTAAAAAAATCTCTTGGATGAAATGCTTCCAAAATTTGTTGCAAAGACACTCAAGCCATTTTGTTAAATCTTTTTTATCAATTGCATCAAATCTAATTAATAAGAATTCATTATTGATACAGTTAAAAATTTCTAAATTATACAAAATTTACAATATTTCTATCTCTTACCAGGTATTTACAATTAATAAATATATATTCATTTATATCTATCACGTTAGCCTTTTTGCGTAGTTGTGAATTATTCGATATAATAAATTTATTGATTTGTTTGGAACAAGGGTCATCAGTGATTTGTTCGACCATAGAAATCAACCTTATGTTTGTTGATGCCCAACTCTATGTAAAATCTTTGCATTCCTCTATGAGTGGTCGAAGGGGGATTAATAAGTGGAGGTGACGTGTACTGGGTATTGGGGTGAGTTAGTGATCGATGGTTGATTAACTTTTCAAACTTTTTAACAGTTGAGGTCTGAATACAATCTTTGTACTATCAAAAGGCATCTCATGGTCTTATTTGGGCAATTTAGAAATTTACGGTACTGTTGACCCATGGAAAAATGTTAGGGAGAATTTCAACATTGCACTAATCTGCTCGAGGCGGGGTCAACTAAACCTCCTGCTTCGATGTCGAACTTGCGCCGTATTCCAGCGTTTCGCAACATCATGAGTGACTGTCGCATTTACGCGTTAGAAGAATGGACAAGATCTACATGGACATTATACTGATTGGCGATCATTTTCTTGGTAAACTTCAGTCAGTTTTTGCAAGACCATGCGACAATAATATAGTCTTTCAGCTACATCCTCACTGCAGCCTTTTCTGGATATTCCTTTAAACGTGTGTGTGCTACTCTCTCTGTTCTGATTAATGAACGTGATAATGTCTTTGTGCAGTGACCCAGGAGTGAGGATAATTTTTGTATGATCTGACAGAAAATTTACCTGCAAAAAACCGAAATAAAGATTTAGCCAATAAAGAAGTATAACTCTAAAATGCAGTTTATTTCATGTTTCTATCATAAGAGTATCAGAATCAATTTACGTTGAACTTAATCACTGGACTTCCGGAAGAAGAAGGTTAGACATAAATCGTGGACGCTTGGCTTTGAGCCTCCCGTTTATTGAAAAAACCTTTTTAAGATTAACTGAGTTGTTTTGCTCAAGGCTCCTTAGACCCCAAAAACAACCTTCCACCGTCCTTGCATAGCAGCCCTCAACTACTAAACTTTTAACAATACTGTAGCCGATTTAGCTACGATCAACCTTGCTATCAATCGCCCATAGAGGTTGAGATAGGGGCCTGGGCTTTCCACGTGTGATTTTCATCTTTACCATATAAAATATAGCTTCTCCTGTTAGTTTCTCTATGCTTAATTTTCACATGGCTTGCATCAGTACAACGAACTAAACTTAGATAAACAGGTGGAATAAGAGAGGGAATGAGTAGTTATTATCAAACTAAATAGATTATAACGCTTGGTGTTTCTCGAAAAGTAAAGATACGCCTAAATGCAAGATTTACAATACAGAACAATACATAGTATACAATACAGAAAGCAGTGTGAAAACATAATCTACTTAAGTGAGACAATTCTTTACTATTATCTTGAAGTACTATTTAGCTTAATGTAGATACGTTAAATACTAAGTAAATTACTTTTAAACACAAAAACTACGGTTACACAAAAGGAAACATATAGTCACATATAACAACAACGTCCTCTGCACAGCCACAAAACATCACCGATATTACGTCACAGACAGACAATCTACAAAACAAACTTGAGAAACATTCATTAAACATTCAGAGTTATTTGGTGTTCTTCTCGAGTTGAGTCAGTTAAATCTTTGCTACAATTAATTATACGCTGAGGACAAAGCATAGACTATTCAATCAATAGAAATGACAATACGATTAAAACATAAATGTTTTCAAGTTGTTATAAAATTTTAGATTACAACGAAAAATGCCATTTAAAAATTAAAATAACGAGGTTGTTGTCCCGTCAGACGACATGAAAACAGTTCAATAGGTCGCTGATAATTCTACTAAATAAGTCTATAAAACCCCAGCGCGGCAAACGCTTAAACAACAAATCAAGCGTCATATAAGATAAATTGCTTACTTGAAGGGTACCATTCGATAAGTACATGACCATGGCTTTCTCAGTTCGGAACCACGTGTCAATGATAGGCAGCTCTGCGTAATCGTCACGGCGTGGACTGTTCAAGTCACCTCCCTAAGCAATGAATAATCACGCATTTAGGGCAAAATAGCAAAAATCAGTAACATCATTCCGTGAGCACAAGTAGGCCTATGTGTTGCTAAAAACACATCATCAAGTGCAAGTGCTAGCCGAGCTTGAAAAAACAGCTCCTTGACGTTATCCCTTAGTTTTGAAAGAAAACTATACAACAAAAACCGTGGATGCCGTACTGTTCCACTGATACAGGCAAAATGAACTGTAAAAACACTTATTTATCTTTATATGTATAATTACATTGCAGACAGAATATATTTCAATCAACTAATAATATCTTAAAAGCTTTCCAAGCAAGCTAGGATGCTTATAGAATAGAAAGAATTAAGCAGTTTATTTTTTCATTGTAAACTGTTTCGTCTTTGCGAATGGGTCTTGTCTTAAAGTGAGCAGATGCGCGCGCGTTACGCGTGTGTCTGCGGGAGGTAAAAAAAACTCACCTTGAGTAAGTGCTTGTCCATGTAGTTCCCAAAATAATTCAATAATGTAACTTTTCTGAGTAAATCATCTGGGATGTTGTTAACACTGAATCTAAAAAGGTTTCGGTCTTCATCGAAATATTGTAATCGCCTAAAACAAGAAAGGAATTGACAATAAAAATTTGTCTGTAACATTATCTTGCAGCATTTTGAATCACAAAGGTAATTGGAAATGAAGTTAATGATGGGGTATAAATATTCTCTCCTGACAATGAAATCCTTTGATAAAAGATATGAGATTTTGTATCAAGAACAGACTGAGCCAGAAATTGCTTGTTATAGTTCAAAAGTTGCAAGATCAGAAACTGTTTCTTATGAACCTCCATCGAGGCATCAACAAATGACATCGTTTCTGGAACTTTTCTTGGAAACAAATTGCTTTTGTGGTTACTTTACAAAACTCAGTCAAAGGAGACTGTTAGATGGTGTTAAAGGAGTTTGACTAGCTGAAAGGGTACTTTTATCATGACAATTTGTTTGTAGAACATGACTAGCATCGTTTGCAAAGTCATTGGGGAGACCTTCCAACGCAATTTTTCTAGAAATATGAAAAAACCCTGAAATATATTTAAGCTGCTCAAAAGTGTGTCTGTGCGTACTTTTTATCCGATGTCATTGCCAGTGTTGTAGCATCATTGAATCTAATGACCAGGGAACCATTGGATAACTGTGCCCCGAATCCATACTTGTTGCTATAATCGACCCACTTGGTAATCCACAATCTCTTCATTGAATCCGTAAAGACATCCGGGCGTTCTTCATATGGCTCTTCTTCAGAATCTGAAGTGCCAGTGCTTATTGGATCTGATCTTGCAGATAGATTCGGATCTGGCATTGAATCCAAGCAAGCATTCAGTCGAATAAAAAGCGGGCGTGGATTGCACATGTCAAGTGAGCTCTCATCTAAAATTAGATCGAAATGGTTGTTAGGCCTGGATCTAGCTAATCAAGCGTTGGTTGAAAATAAGCCAGAAAGCACACCCTAACGTTGTCTAGAACTTTATATAAATTTGAGTAAATATAGATATAATGGCTCAAACTTTCAAGTTCTAAAGGAATGCTTCACCTACAACTTTAAGAAAAAGCTCTTCGATGTGTCTTGTTAATTGCAGATTTAGAAAAGTTATCTGTAAAGTGTGTTGTGTTCTAAAGATATGTTCTGGAGCAATAGAAAGGAGAAGAATAAAACAGAACAGCAGTGTTACCAAGAAGTGGCTTTTTTAATTTCTATTGAGAAGATAGGAAAAGAGAAAAGGAAGAACGATAAGCGAACCAAAGAAACGAAAAAAGGAATCATTCTTATATTTTAAAGTATTGAATTCTGTTATTGAGGCTACTTAATCCCTTCTATAGGTTTGTTCTGACTTCTTGAATGGTCACAATTTTCTTGCAAGAATGAAATGCAGTAAATAAGAAGAGTCTCACCTAAGCTGTTTGAAATCTCGTGTCCGTTCGAATCTTGACTTTCGACGCCACTTTCAACGTGCTCTCGCCTTTTCTGTTCATCAGCAATTTTATTACTTCCCTGTAAATTCAAATTGGAAAGTGCACTCTTAAGGTGCCTCATTCCGTCATCACTACAGCAAGGTGACTTTGACAAGGCTGAATCACGTGTGTCATTTGTCTGATAGTTCTTCTTGCTTTTCGAATATCGTGAATGCGCACTTGAGCTGAACTTTGGAGGTGTCATGCAACAAATTGATGGTAAGGATCGTGGTAAAAATCCTTTTGTAAAGAAGCTGTTATTAAAAAGAGAGCTGAGAGTTGGCCTATCCTCGGGTCTCTCGCTCAAAAGTTTTTGTATCAAATTAGCAGCTGATCTCGAGACTCTTGATGGAATGGCGTATTCGTTATTTTTAATTCTCATGTAAGTATCCTTCAAGCAGCTTGTTTCAAAAGGAGGTCTACCAACTAACAAGGTATACCTGCAACGGAGAAAATCGTCAAACCGTTAGTCTATCAGAAAATGCAATTTTGTTGAAGCATAGAAAAGAGTATAATGAAAGCTTGTTGTAATAAGTTGTAATAGTACAACTAAAATTGATGTCATACAGTTTTGAAGTATGTTTGCTTAGACTAGTATAAGGCTCCTAAAGATGTTAATTTTAGGAAATTTTCCAATGCATGAAAGATAATTTGATGAGTGCAAGATGCATTAATAGAAGCACTTGCCCAAGGGCGGAGCGCGCGGGGAAGTGTGGGGGGGGGGTGTACATTCCCAACTTTTGCCGCATGAAGCTTTTCAGATTCAGAAGGAGCAAAAAAAAAGAAACAATCAGTTAGTTTAATACACTGTTGGGATATAAAAGGGTCGGGCATTGTACTAGAATAACCTTAAGGGCATACTATCTGGCCTCCTCCCATCCGTATACCTTGCAAATAGAATGGCTAAATGTTGGAAGGAAATCATACATATCATATTTTCTCGCTTGCACATTTCGTAAATTTTGAAACGGCTAGGCTTTAAACTCAATATAGAAGGAGGTACGGAAAGAACAATGATAGTTAGCTTACATAACGCATCCAAGAGCCCATGTATCAACTTCAAAACTGTGCCCAGACTTTCCTAAAACTTCTGGTGCAATGTAGTTTGGTGTTCCACATACAGACCTAAAGGCAAAGAGATATCCATTAATGTATTTGTGAATCATTAATGATTCGCAATGGGTGTCATACAGAAAGCTGCATGGTGATGCTAAACAGCATTGCAGAAAGGTAGGCAGCATTCTGTAAAGGTTGATGAAACCAGAAGACAACTGACAGTTTACTGCATTAGAAAATATTAGCTAAAGACAGGTGCGGGAGAACGTTTCCAAGAAAACATTTTATCAAAAGATACCAGTTTACAGTTCAATTCAATTCAAGGATGTATAGAACATAAAGAGAACGATTATATAGAACAAATATATCGGTAACCTTAGAGGTTTGTGTGATTAGTATGTAACGTATTCTTAAGAGATTCTATACCAGTATACAAAACAAAAATTCTAGGTTCATAGCCTTGATACATCGTAACACAGCAAAATTATAACAAAAATACATTCCAGAAATTCTCTAGATAAAACGAAATACTTACATTTCTTTTTTATTTTTGTCGACAACTTTCACTGCAAGGCCGAAATCTCCAATTCTAATCTCCATATCGTCATTTACAAATAAATTTCCTAATTTAATGTCTCTGTGTATAATATTCCTGTCGTGAACATTAGCAACCCCTTGAATAGTCTGGTGGATGAAATAGCGAACTTCAGGCTCTGTCAATGTTCTCCGTTGCTTCAACAGTTGAACCAATGACTGAAATTAAAATACAACATTTTATCACGCATAGTTTTTAGAATATTCATCATCTTGATATTATCTCATCAATCTAGTTTAAAGCTATTTCTTTGATAATCATAAAATGCTATCACCTGCATTGAAATGGTATAATACAAGGCTATCGTCCATACCTTTCTACTACACAGCTCTAGTAAAATGTAAACGTTTTCTTCATCTTCAAAATATCCTTGGAAGCCGACGACAAACCGATGCTTTATACTTTTGTGAAGGTCGACTTCATTAGCAATCTGTAAAAAAAAGTATTTTGTAAAATCTTGTTTGATAGAAATGAGATCATCTTGTGATTGTTGTTCTTGGTGACGATGATGATGATTGATTATGAGGATGATTATGATGATGGCTATTTTGTTACTATCACAATGCTGATAGTGATAATAATCATGCTGATGATGAAAGAGAAGTACAAAGCTTTTTTAGTTCGAATGTCAAAATCGATACCTTCAAACAGAAGCCTTAAATGCTTTTAAGCGGTTAAAAATTTGTCCTGGGGGACTGTCCGGAGAGAGAGGTTTGCCACATCATAATTTATTTACACTATTTGGAAATTACTGAGAGGTGCCCCGTTTCCGCCATCAATTCCGAAAAAGGCAGTTATAGTGCCCAAATGGGAGTCGATATTGTTTGGCTGCAGCTTTATTTTATATTTCTAATTAGCTTTCCAAATTAAAGATTGTCGGAAAATTTAAAAGTTGTCTGTAAACTTAAATTTTGGCTTTGGGTTACTTCGGTAGCTTAAAAAGTGGAAAATGAAAAGTGAAGAATGAAAGAAGTTTAATAACGTGAAAGAGATATCTGCAGTAGACATCGTTTTCTTCTGTCACTCAAGAAATTTTTGTCATATCTTCTGTTGTCAAATTATGACTTATTTTAAAGGAGCATTTTTGTCGGTTTAGTTGACATAATTGCTCCCCAGAAAAAAGGGGTCAGTGTCAGTCTCTGTACGTGAGGTTGTAGATGGGTGTGGGTTACGTGAAGGACATATATTTTAAAGGGACTCGGGCAACTCAAGGTCAGCAGGTGGTTGTTTTCTTGTTAATTAGACGTCCATTGAAACTGGTAAATGCACAACACGCTTGCTTTCTTTATCGACTCGCTTCTTTTGCATGTGGGTTTATTGGACTGGCTGTGCTATGCCTTTAAAGCTATCGGCTACTGCATTCAATTCTGGCTTATGTATTTGCAAAATGCAGTTAACTGTTTGGTTTACTTTTGTAATCTGCCCAAGCTAGAGTACAGCTGATGGAGAATATTTTAAGATTTTAAGGGATTTGCTAACCTTGAAACGTATTCAAATCAACACTTTTACAGTGGGTAGATAACCTTCTATTTGAGTAAAGACCAATCTACTGGAAAGTGGGGTTAACTAGTGCTTAAAAATTTTGATTCATTCTTCATCCTTAGAAATCTAATGCTTTGCAATCCCATTTTCACCCATTTATATTATTTGATTCACCATATATGTACTGCCCTAAATTCCATGGAACATGTTTATCTAGACAGACAATCTTCCTAAAATAAGCTCACTTTTGTGAAGATTATATTGCTTTGGAAGGATGATTCATGTTTTATAACAAATTTAGGCAAGATTCATTCTAGAGACAAATTTTTTTCTAGACAGATCTTAATTTCACGAAGACATCTAGGAAAAAATGCAATACGCAAAGATATCCTCTAAAATTAGGGACAACCCAATTCACAGAAAAGGAACACATTTAACTTTTGCAGGCATTGCATTTATTGAATATTATACAGTATCCACGTAGGGTCATGGGGGTTGAAATCATCCTGGTTATTTTAAAAGGACCCCGCTTTGCGACTTTCTAATGCAGTATAGCTTTGTGATTAACCGTAAAAAACAGTCTCCATTTTAGAAACGGCAAACGAAAAAGAAACAAGGACCTTTTTGCTTAGATTGAGTTGGATCTTTGAGACTTAGCGAATACTACGAACACCGTTTTATAACAATATTTTCATTTTAAATCTTGTGCGAGTCACTGAAAAATGAAAATTCGGCGTCTATGATCAGATTATTTCATAAGGCGACACAGCAACTGAGCAGTTCAATGGCCCTGCTATCCTGACCCCTATACCTTGAATAAACTCACTACACTGGTATTCAAATCAAATAACGAATACTGCCAAGACAATTGAAACGCGCCTCGGGTAAATTATTAATCTCAAGGTAATTAGATCTATACCAAATAAGGCGTTGATTTTTATCAGGGAATGGTTGCATTTATTAATGATTCATAGAACAGAGCGTGAGTAATGTCACATGACCAACCCTAATCAGACTTTGTAACACCGAATTCATAATAATAATAATGATAATCATAACTGCTACCACCGCTATCATGTTATTGTAATGACACTCAAATTAATAGGTTGGTTAATGTAAGTGATTGGTACAAAATAAAATTTCAAAAGGTAGCTTAGTTGACTTTCAAAAATTTATTGAAAATGCCTTTTTAGAGAAATGTTCAAAGTCATACTAGATATATCATTTTAAAATAGATTTATTTGCAATTATTACTTGTTCGCTTGTATGGCAGAGAGTTTTTATACTGAAGTCAAAATGGCGTTGCGATTAGCATAACTGGACTTAATTTTTCCCTATGTATCTAATACCCTATCAATAACAGGCTCGTCGGAACTGAGAGAAGGGGGGGAGCAATTATCAAACTGTAGTATGTTTCTTTTATAGCAGTGTACTGAATGAGAATGGAAACAATGGGCAGCCCCCCCCCCAAATTTATTTCGTTCCGACGGCACTGAATAATCAACATTGTAAGGCTACTAAACAGCTTGAGGTTTCGCTGCAACTATCTAAATCAATTTAACTGATGACGTTTCAAATCATAACGCACTAGACAATATGCAGCAAACGTGATTTGCATTCATAATCATAAGCAAAAACAACACAACATCAGACTTATAAATGAAGTAAGCACATGCATTGCGGTCAAAGCCTGTTAACATTGTCAATGGACTCAATTACAAGACCAGTGCGGGTATCAAACTGTCATCGAGAGACTATCGTGAAACAGAGGCACGATGACGTAATGTTTTTAAAAACGAGAGACCATGTGGCTGCAATTTAAGAATGAGGGTCAAGCACGTTAAAAAAGCAAGTTCACATTTGGGGGTAGAATTATACAATACTGCACCCTGCCATTTGGTGAAAATCTTCAAGGGGGGCTTTTGTTTACTTGAAGCTAGAAAAAGCGGGAAAAGGGTATACTAAAAAGTCTAACTTCCAAGAACTTCTTAAGAGTATACTTTAAAGTCTAACTCCCAAGAACTTCTTACTGGAACAGCAATGAACAGTGCCTATCAAACCTTACAGTTACTTTAGAAGTAAATATAACAGAGCAAATGCTGTCATGAAAATTAATCAGTAAAATATTACCTTATCCTTTTGGTGTGGCTTTGCAATCCTTAGCTTAGAAATAGATTTACATGCATATTTTCTGTCTGTTTGCATGTCGGTTACTTCATAACACCTCGCGAATCCACCCTGGCAATAAGAAATACAATTGTTAAAAAAATCTTCATCTCGAATTAGGCCAATAACAATTTAAAGCACGAGAAGGAAGAAAATTCAGGTATAAACAGCGCAACATTGTACACAAAGGAATGATTTGAATAAAATGCACAAGGAAACATAGCGCATGTGAACCACACTAAAAGATTCGAAGTTAATCGAGACTACACATGTTTTCCTGTATTTTGCATTTTATTGTATCAGACAAGGGAGCTTCTTTCACTCGCAAATATTTTATAACTACTGCTATAGCTCGTACCCTGGATCTTGGGAGTTTGAAATTGGTTCTTATTGAACTGCTCACGTTATAATGAAATTATCCAAAAAAGCTGTTTAAGACAGCTTGAGTAGGCTATCGCTAGAGTAAAGCATCGCCTTCTTGGGTAGAAAGTAAGCTTGCTGCGAATGGTCAACGAAAACACGAGTACATAATGCTAACCTTCCCGAGTATCCTTCCTCTGAAGTATCGCTTTCCTGTTTTCTGGTCAACAACAACTTGTGGTAGTTCCGGCAATATTGGCTGCGACTTCGTATGTGCTCCATGCTCATTTTTGTCTTCATGTTTCGTGGCACAATATGCTGATAACATTTTCTTGAGATGCAGTTTCTCAAACTAGGTTAGAAATAAAAACATCTATGACTCACGCGTCTATCTTCAAAACCAAAAATATAAATGATACTAAAATCTTTGATATACAGTAAGCTTGTTAATTTTCTTGAGCTCTCGCTATGCACAACACTCTTCTGAAGTAATGCCGTGGTTTTCTTGCCTCCAGGGGGCGTGTAGATTGATAAGACTTCGAATGCGCGCCTCGATTGGCCAATCATGCGAGCGACGCTCGAATATGATTGGCTGATGTTCGAACCTGTTAACTGATTGGCCGAGGGCTGGTTGATTGACTGTATGCAACACGCTTCTTCGGCGTTTCATGTATACGATGCATGTAAATAAAGATGGTGAAAAGATGCTATCAATGGCTTGATATTCGGAATATCTAATTTACATAATGCAGCATTCATGCATCTGCAATAAGCATGCCGCTTTTAATGGACGGCTGCACTTTGTGAAGATAGGCGAGAGCACAAGAACACGCTGCAGGAAAGAGCTTCACTGAAATCGAGTTGAAGTGCTCAACGATCGCGTCTAGAGAAATAAGCCACGTTAACCATCTCCCTGAGGATCGGTCATTAACTGTTTGCTACCGTGGATCCTTTATCAGAAGGGGCTGTGATACAGTTTAGGTAACTTAAAGAATTCAAGACACTGTTTCAGCCTTCTCCTTAAAAAACCATTTCCATGTGGTTTCAAATAGCTTAGCAGAAATTATCCCTAAGGTTATGAAGGCTATAAAATCAGGTCCAATTTCGCAAACTTTTCCTGTTTTGCTTGCTGAAAAATCAGTATACGTACTCTACACGGAAAACTGCCGACTTAATTAAGTGGAGCTTGGATAATTCGTAAAAAACGTCTTCTAAGGGCCCGTTTATATGAAGAGGGGTAGCCCTCTTAGGATGCCTTGGGATCTCATCATGCGTTTGCATGAAATTTTCTGGCCCTCCAAGGAGAGCTGAAATTAAGCTCCTGCGTAGCGTTCGTTAAACAGTTGCAATTTCGCGCCTTTTGTTGGTCTTTCATCAACATGGCTGACCAGAAACGTTTTCTGTTAATGTTATATCAAATGATAGCCATTTTTGAATGCAAATGACTCAGTTACGCATGCACACATCGTTACCTTGCCTCTCACCTAGGAGGGCCAGCCCTCCTAATTGTGTTTATATGGGAAATTTTCAGCCCTCCTGGGCGAGATCTTGGGTACTCAACACCGAGATTGCCAGCCCTCCCCTCATATAAATCAAAACGATTTTCATAAGGGATTATACCAGGAGGTGAGATCTCGGCAAAGAGGGTCAGCCCTCTTCCATATAAACAGGCCCTAAAATGATGCCCAAGCATACTGGAAACCTTTTAGATTGTTTTAAAACGTTTTTGAGCAAAGCTTCTTACTAAAAATTAGCTAATATCGACAAAACGATATGCTTTCCTATGTAAAGAGCCTGTGTTACCCATGAACACTTTTACGTTTCAGGGGCAGGTAAAGCAAAATCCTTAATGGACTGTCATTAATTATTAAAGGCATTGAGTCATGATATAATAGATTGGGTATACCCTAAGTGCAAAATCCGCTGAGTCATGATTTTCATGACTGCGATGCTATTGGTTGACCTGGAACTGGTCACATGAACTCACCTCGTACTGATTGACAAAAAAATTTCAATCAATAGCAAGTTGTCAACAGTGGATGCAAATATCACATGAAATAGCAGCGATCACGCCGAAACCAAATGACCCCCTATAGAGAAGGCCTATTTACCATGACTCAATGCCTTTAAAGCTGCCTATATGACAAAATTCAGAAATTCTGCTTTAATACTGTACAGTTGAAATTCACTGACAGATTAAAGTTATAATACAATAGGGCAAATCGAATGAAATTATGAGGTTCATCTGGACCTAATTTTCACTAAAGATAAAGCTAGTCACAAAACTCAAAGCTTTTAAAGACACTTTTCTATATTCCGGTGTTTCCGCAGATCCTGAGTAACAATCTCGCAAAAGAAAGAGCATCACGGCTTAAATTTTTTAGGCTTATAATGTTTGGAACCTTAATTTGTATGTTTGTACGGAATGTTTAGCATGTGAAGTGAAAGGAAAATTACATGGTATCGAGGTTTCCTCCCTTTAGCTTCGCTATCGTCATAGAGGAGGGTTGTCTTGAAGTTAAAGCAAATGCTCTCATATTGGAAAACTTCCAATTTGAACATCTGCGTGCAAAAGTTTCGTATTTTTCACCTGTTATTGTTTTTTCTCAACTTTTTGGACAGCTGCTGACTCCGTTCAATGGGCGTGAACCAGTGGTGGCGCCAAGGGTGGGCTAGGGGGGCTACAGCCCCTTCGTCGGAAGCATCTAGCCCCCCCCATCGGAGGAAATTTTAGGTTATTGTCGGAGCATATTTGATAAAATAACGTACGAAAACTGCTTATTTTAGTCATTTTAGCTCCCCTGTCGGAAGCTCCAACCCCTCTGTCGGAAGATTTCTGGCGCCACCACTGGCGTGAACACACATTAACAGATACAAACAAGCTCAGAATAAGATAAGCTTCAGCACAACTTTGCCACAGAATAACAAAAACTATTCTTATTCTGCGACTTTGCTTTGCCTAGGCAGGGGCATAAAATTGCCCTCATAATCCTCATATTACATATTACTTCGCACTTGAAATACACGAGTTATGTCATTGGAAAAACTCGCATTGAAACGGAATCGGGCTGCAACACCTTTCCTACCCTCCTGTCTGTCTACAATTAAAACGACTTGACATAGTTACCATATGCAGGCTTCTACTTTGTGATAACCTTTTGAAGCTATCATAGAAAAGAACAGTTTTCCACTTCTCAAAGAAAATACTTAACTGCAGAGCTTATTTTATCAGCGTCAATTTAGCATAAGTCTTTATTGCAAACAGATCAGAAAAGCTGATGCATCATGCCTTTATCAATGCCAGCTGTTGCATCGAAATGTTTTTAACTATCAACGATACGCGGGAATGCAACATAAGTACATTTTTGTAAATATTGAATAAATCATGCTGAAAGAGAAGTGCTTAGCAGTGGGCACTTTCCGACATCATGGCCACTTCAAAAGATTCCTCTTGTTGAAGATCTGATTCTCAAGGTAGACAGCGTAACAGCCAAACTGCAAGGTAAACATGGCAACTCAAACAAGTCAGATATGACTACACTTTTTAGGTGTGGAATTGGCAGGCATAGTACTATTTTTGTACCTTTAAACAGTAGCGTAGCCAGGGTTGTTAGATTGGAGGGGGAAAAACGAGTTGAGAGGTGGAAAATTGGGGTCCACACCATTCTGAACGCCAGAAAACGCTTTTTCCCAGAGATTTCCCAGAGAGGGGGGGGCGTCTGCCCCCCTTGCCACGCCCTCGCTGCGCCACTGTCTTTAAGATAAATCTGTCTGTTTGCAGCATTCAGTGACGCCTGTACGACCCCGATGCAACGAGACAGGCTAGAAGACAAGGGCATTTGAAAAACAATTCGCTTCCTCTACTCATTTTTTCCGTAACTGATATTTGTATCTCGATCTGCTTAAAGACATTTGACAAGCATAAGTACAGCGAATCCAAAAATAACTTAGGCCAAATTGATCAGAGCACGCGCACAAGAAAGGTAATGAAAACCGCACACGTGAAACCACTGCGCGCGCTGCTCTAGGATTTCACCAATTTGCAGAAAGGCGAAAACTGTTCACGTGTTTTTCTCTGAGCGCAATTTGATTGGTCAACCGCTCGTGGTCGAGTGGCTTTAAGCCACTTTTACCTGTGTCACTTTTACCTGGCACTGTAAGCCACTTTTACCTGTGTCAAATGCCTTCAAGTATCTTCAAAATAGGCTTACTTCTGGCACATAATAATCGCTTACGACCTTTCAGTAATGTCATCAGCAAGCAGCAAGCATACAAAAATTTTTTGAAAGAGGCAAAATGTCTTTTTGACTTTCCTTAATAAGAAAAAGGCTGAGGTCAAGGGCACTTTGATCGCCGTTGGGCTCCTATCAAAAGCTGGGTGGCTTAAGCCTATTTTACGGTATTTCATTGGGGTCCATCCCTTGCATTGATTGACAGTGTTTCAGCTAAAGAAGGAGCATTCAGGGAACCTACGGAAAGTGCTGTTTACCTCTACTGAAATAACGTTTTCGAATTTTGAAAGGGCGTCCTTTTTAGAAAGTTTCCTTGGACCCCCCAGTGCTCTGCCTTTTCTACCATTTCAGCAATATCTTTCCACGGATTTTCTATATTGATTATAAATGGTAGATAATACTCGTTCTGTACAACATAATTGCAAAAAAGCAAATTTTATAGGTCTGTATCCATAGAATTCTAACTTTACTCTCCAACACATTTGAAGGTAGGCGAGTCTCCTTCTCTCCTACACTTTTGAATGCGAACTTCTTCAATTTGGTGCAGCACATGGGCTTGTTTGGTACGACTCCCGTTTCAAACATCGAAATTTTTGTGCTGCTCGCCGGGCTTGTTCATACATGCCTTGTTCATACATGAAGTATTTAAGTATTGTAGGTTTGATTACGGACATTCAATATGGCCCGAGAACATGCTTTTCGCATTTGTAAGGAGATTGCTGCTGGAACCCAGAAGGAAGAGGAGATTGGAAGAGGCAAGATTGAAGATTGTAGCGAAGCAAAGAAGAAGGAGAGTTCAAGTGTTGCTATTTGTTGTCTTGTTGTTGACAGCTTCGAGGAAACTGACAGCAGCCAAACAAGGAATGGAGGTGAAGAGAACATGCAGAAGACTTCAACGCAACCAGGGTTGGTGGAATATCGTCTTGAAAATGATACTTTTTGGACAAAGAGCAATAAATAAATTATGCATTAAGTTCGGTAGATGAAAAGTTCGACGTTTGAAACCCAGTCACGCTTTGCTTGCGTAGCTCGCCAAGATCTGCCGATCCAAATTTTTCTGCTGCTTTTAATTAAACTTGCAATTCCTAATTGATTCAAACGTCGCAATTCTCATGTACTGTATTCTTTATTCAAGTTCGGTACATGAGAAGTTCGACGTTTGAGACGGAAAATGGCCCCCAAAAGACCCTCCTTGACACCTGCAATGTCATTTTATGTTTTCTCTCGCCAGTTCGATACAAACTACGCAAGTAGACTTAGGCGCGGTTTGTGGCTTAGGCGCGAATTGCAGCTTCACACAAGATAAAGATTTTTGGACTACCAATAGCAGGCTCCCTATATAAACGCTGGAACGCTGAATTTTTTTCTCTTGTGTGAAGATGTCAGATGGTAAAACTTTTTAGCTGCGTTTTTTAAATTAATACTTCTGTAACAGATTTTAGACCTTCAAATATATAAAATATCACTTTAAATCGGTTTTCATTGAAGGCTGTCGTAGTCTCTGTTAGAAATGACGTTCTATCTTCTCTCTTTACATGGAGCACTTAACCTCTTAATTTACCGAGTGCTTTTGTAAATGCAATATGGCAGAATTCGTTTGGTTATTGAATATGTAGTGTGTCATTATCGCATGTCTGCAACAATCTTCCGCGTAACTCTAACAGTTTCTTCAGTCCAAATGAAGTTGAATGCTGTAGTTTTGATTTCTTAACTTTCTGCGTTTATAACTAGTGTTTTTTGTTTGCAAGTTTCTTGCAACGACGTAATGATAACGATAACGAAAGCCTCAGCTTCTTCTTAGTTTCCTTCTAATTCTTTACTGATTCTGAGACTCGGATTCTTTTAAACTACATCAAAATATGTTCAAAACGACACGTAAGCGACAGAGCGTTAAAAGGACTTTTAGCAAAGGTCGCACCCTAAATAACAAGCGATGCAGGCAACAGTATGGAGATATTTTGAATATTTTGCTAGAAGCAGGTACTTGGTTGGCTATGAGCAGTTGAAAAAAATGAAAAGGCCAGGACTTGGTTGAGTAATGCCCGAGACATTAAAAACCGCACATGGTTGGCAGTATGTACAATAGATACGTAATTAGCTTGATCTAAAGGCAAGTCTACTGTATCAGTAGCTGACGATATTCTAAAATTGACTTGTATTCATGCTGCCAATAATTCTCATTTGTATACTGAATTTTGTTACACAAATTGATCCCGCTAAATGACACGACCCCGGCTATCACATCCGGACCGTCTTTAAAGGGATAGAGTGTTTAGAGGACATTTTGGGTACTTCAATCGACGGAAAGTGCACAATCACCAACCCCCATATCCCTAATGAACCAAACGATTCAGTTAAATAATTTAGCTACTTATTTTAAGAGGCAAACTTGATGATCAGGACATGGCTACCTACACTTGTTTATAACGATCAAATAATAATCTATTTTAGCAAGGTAGGTAACATTATTTGTAAAACATTTTGAAATGCAGATGAAAACAAACATTTTGAAAAAATCGATAAGTACTGTAAAAGTGTTTATCTTTATAAGAATGATTGAATCCTTATTTTGTAGCTTCAAAATAAAAATAAAAAACGTTCATGAGACGTCCCTTGATTTTCAACATTTTCGGTTCACCATTCAACCAGAAAAAAAATTAGAGCATAGCCAGAAAAGAGTATAGCCAAACCACATAAGAGCTCTGACACTTCGTTTTTTATGCAATAAAAATTCAAGTTCATTTTACATTGAAGCATGTCTCCAGAGTAGGAAGGGAACTGGGTACTAATGTAAGTATTAAGGTTAGTAGTATATCAAAACAAACTCGTTTAATATGATGAAAAGAAAGAGTGAAAATATCTCCAGCTTAAAGTTATTTGAAAATATCAGCAAAATATGAGCTTTAATACAAGACAGATACCAATCACCCCAAGACAAGCTATTTGCAATTTATTACGATTTTTTACAGCCGGGGCTTACAGGTTCCAGCCATCGATGTTATAACCCAGAAAGGTAAAAGCAGCTTTGAATAAATTGTGATTTTATAGTGACGTGGTGACTTAAATGTGTTCTAGTATCATTTGAAGGTGAAAAGGCCTTAGCGGAAAGATTAATATGATATAGTTTTTGACAAGATTTCTAGCTACACGGAATTTTAATGATTATTTCTTGGCCTATCAAACTTTCACAATTATATCCGAGGGGCAAATCACTTGATGAAAATTTCGTACATCTTTGGTGAAAATCCTATTGTTTTATCTGAAAATCTCTGGATATCATTTTGTTTTTAGGAAAATCTCGTACGCTATTTGCAATAGTGAACTATCCTTCGATTACACCGACTGATATTTGTCGTTATGAATTTTCTACTCTCTGTCCCTTTAATCGTTTCATGAAGTTTTACACTGTTCCTTCAATGTAAATTTGGTACACAGTTAGCTTCTTTATATATTAAGATTGTTTGAAGTCTTTCGCAAATATTTAAGTAGCAATTGAAGCTGATCAGCAGAACAAACATTTTGCAGAAAATTGAGCCTTATATTTTCATAAGATGTACATGCATTTGATATCAGTTAAAGTTCGCAACTTTATATACATGCGAGCTTTGAAAACGAAAATAATGGTCGTGAATGAGCAGCCCATGATTAACCCTGTCCTACCTGTAAACCACCAAATCAAAGCAAGGTAGGACCATGACTCGACTAGGCCGGTTTATAAACTATGAACATGCTAAAGTCGCAGAAAAACAGCAGATATATACCTCGATATTGCAATCCCATCCAATTGATTTCATTTCATAGAATCTGCCTTGTTTCACTTTGGTCATCTTTTAGCCGCGCAATGTGTTTAAGCAAATTTTTCCAAGTTTTCTTTCTGAAGATCACCTCGTCTCCCCCTCAGACGAATCATATCATGGTTATATGTACGAGCAGACTAGCAATTGTCTTTTCCGCTACATTTTGGCAAATATTTTACGGTGAAACCAGCACCGCGCATTATATCTGTGTAGAGAATCTCCCATGCGCTTACTTGCTATGTAGGCTGCTCTTTATGGCAGCATTGCGAAGATGCATGCGCATTCGTGAACGAAGGCAGGCGACCAGCGAAGCATGGACAGGTACTCAGGTCAGTGCATTGTTTTGGCTGGCAATCGCTTGATCTTTGTCTGCAGAAGATACTGGGGATAGCTCCAAAGGTCACCAGATGTATGCCTAGTTGAGAACAAGTTATAAATTTACGATAATTGTTTCAATCACTTCAACGAACAGGTCACACTTGTCCTCATCCCTGCAACACAAAAATGCAAACGATGGCAAAAAGGTCTCCGAAATCACAATCAAACAACGAAACAAGTTGCAAAAACAAAATAGTAGAATGTATAAATCACAAAAGCTTGTTGGTTGGATGCTGCTAAACAAGTCTGGTACAATATCTCCTCTTAGATATCTCTTCTTATCAACCTAGGCAATCATGAGGTATTGTTAGCTAAAACAGGGCCCGCACCACGAATTTTAAAGTGGGGGGGGGGGGCAAGGCTAAAAATGTAGGGGCTAAGGCTTCTTACCCCTTCTATTGCAGTTTTAAAACTACTTGTTTCGCAAAAAAGTGGGGGGCCATGGCCACCCCGGCCCCCCATTGGCGCGGGCCCTGTAAAAGCCAAAAGCAAGAAGACTCATTGCCGGTGTAATATGCCTTTTGGTACCCTATGCAAAAGTGTAACATTGTGAAACGCAACGTGTTTCAAATCTTGTGATTTCATCGTAGTGTGATGTTTTGACACGCTATGAGTAACAAATTGAACACAACTCTTTTCGACTTTAAAATTTCACACTTGACTTTGGAGTCGCGAATAATGTTGTACTTTTTATTGCATAAGCTCAACAAGGGAAATCACAACACCGCTTCTTATTAGCACCCCATTTTAAAGGCTGGTTCACATGCTAAGTTCCACCATTCGTTTCGGTTCCCTATTTCTTAAAGACTTGGGTGCATTTTTGTACAAACAAAATTGACACGCGTTTGTGTACCCGGGCCGTTTTGCTTTTTTGGTACCCTATTGTTTAAGTGCTTCGGTACGTTTTTGCATAGACGAAATGGCCGTGCGTTTGTGTACCCGGACTGTTTTGCATGCTAAATTCCACCATTCGTTTTGGTACTCTATTGTTTAAATGCTTGGGTACGTTTTTGCAAAACCAAAATTGTCATGCGTTTGTGTACCCAGACCGAAATGCATAAGGTTACCGAAACGCATAAACAAAGGGGGGAATAAGCGCTCTCAGCACCCTATCTGCCTCTGCGGTCCCTCTGTACTTTGTGCTATGGGCTCTTCTAGCTACCACTCCCTAGACCCCACCCAGTCTATTTGTGCTACAAGACCTAGCCTCCTTGAATGGAACTATACAATAAGTATTTAATCTCAATCACTCACGGAAAACCTTTAGCTAAACCTATATTAGGTTTAAATGAGAACAATCGGCAATCTTGTTTTATTGCATAAAAACTGTAGAATACCTTAAAGTGCCTGTGACATGATTTTTTTTATTCTCTTAATTGAAGCGTTGCACTGCTCTTATAGTAGATCTGAACTTTTTTTTCAAAAAAAAGCGTTTTGATATTGAAATTAAGCAAAATAGTGCGGCCTAGCCAAGTCGCTTTATCATCATTCGCCGTTCTCTTGTGACGTCATGGGAGAAACTCGTTTTTGTAATAATGTAAGCGCTTCCTTCAAAAATCTCATCCTCGCTGCCACTACTTTCTCTGGAAATATCGCTCATCTTGGACCTGTTAGATTTCCCTCATTGACTACGATACAAAACTCGTAGGAGGAGGCGATCGGGTCCCTCCCGTGACATCACTGTCTACTCATTCTGAAAACCAAGATGGCAAATTTTGGCGTAGAAGATCGCCAATAACTCCTTCATTTCTCACGAAACGTAAAAACTAACCTCAGAAATGAAAATAACAGGCCTTTTCACATAAGAATAAGGATCTTACTATAAATGGCACTGAAAATTTAGCATCTATCATATTCATCAAACAAAAAGAAAAAACTTAACTACTAAAACATCTGGTCAATTGAAGGGTCAATCTGGTCAATGTTTTAAATCCCGTGTTCCTGAAGCTTGGCCCTCATTACCCCGTCAGGCATCCCTGACTTGCTACTAAGGCAAGGCAAATGACTTACTCTCAAGTTCTGAATAGAAGCAAGGTTTTAATAGTTTGGAGTCGGGAAATTTTTAAAAATTAATAAAAATGGGGTGATAATAAACGGAAGGAGGGAGAATTCGTAAAAAACTGATAGTTACGTCAATTAAAGGGAGTGCACTATATATGCTTAGAATTTCATATATAAAAATGTAACATACAAAAACAACTAAAACAAGTCTCTTATCAAACAAACCGTAAAAAACCATGATTCTACTGCATATGGACTAAAATCATTGGACACTGTTTGCCAAAATTAATTAACCGGGCAGAGGCGTCCGAATAATCATCCATCCTTGTAGTAAGCACCAAAGAGTAGGCATTGGATATTGAGAAGAAAAAAGAAGTGCCTATACCCAACATTCCATTTGTATTTCCAAGCATTTCGAATTGTTATTTTGAGTGCGAATCAGTGATTTTGCTTCACAGAATATGATACCTAGCGACATTTTCGTTTATAGCTTAATCATTCAAAAACTAGACCAAGCCCTGAGATCTAGTCTCAGTCCTCTGTATGAAACCTGAGACACTTCCGCGTTCCGCCTTCTTTGTTATCAAGTTGCACATGACTTCTAGGAAGGGAATTTACCTGCAAGTTCGAAGGGGATAAACCACGGGTTAAGTGACCAAAGCTTATTACCAACAAAACATTGAACAAAATGGACGACCAAGAAGCAGGTGAAGGAGTTGGTGTAGTGAATCAAAATGTTTTCATAATTGATGCAGAAGAAACCCGCCTTATTCCCGATTTGGAAGTACAAATAGAGCAAACTGAAAAGAAGAGGAGAAAAGTCGAGCTGGGCGAACTTGAAAAGGGTTTCGATGAAGCAAATGTTTACAGCAGATTGGATGAAGGTGACGACTTGAACCTATTGTCAGGTTCCAATTTGCGGCTCAGCTTGGTGTGGTGGAAGTGCCTCTTTCTCGTGAACATCACAGGATTTTTTACAAAAAAACAGCTTAAATCCAGGTATGGCTACCTTTATCGCTTCTGGCAAGTAATCGCCACCGCACTCATTGCCACATACCATCTTTTCCAATTTGGAATTGGCAAACTAAGTAGCAAGCATATCAGGCCTGTTGTTGTGGCCGAGAGTAACTATCCATTTACATACGCCCATGATGTATTGTGGCAGCTCAAATGGTCTGTAGCCTATGTCCTTGGAATGGCATACTTTGGGTCAGGCCACATAGAGGTATTGGTATCCTGCCTGCGCCTGCCTCGCGATGTTTTCAAGAAAGCAAGGCGACACTGCGTATGGTATGTACTTATTATTACCACATTGGTCCTGATTTTGCCAGCAGCATTCCATGCTTTGCAGCTATATGATAGTATGCAGCGACAGAGTAATGAAAAAAATGGAAGCAAAGCAGACAAGTATGGAAATATTGTAATTTGTGATTTGTTGTACTTGGCCTTCAGAATCGCAACAGTGCCTTCCTTCTGCATTGTCACTGCTGTTTTGTACCTTGTCAAAGTTTCGATTGACACTCTTGGAAGGACACTGAAGTGTATAAACGTCAGCCTTGGCGAACCGTATGCGGAAAGAGAAATCCGAGATTGCAAGAATATAATCCGGGCAGCGGACATCAAGTTGAAGTGGTACCTGAGTTGTCATATGGCACTAATATTGATGACAGCATTTACCGGCTTGTTCTCTTGCATTGAGAGAATGGAATTCAAGATGGCCAAGAACAATAATGCTACTGTCTCAAGCACTGTCAAGCTGAATGCAAATAATGGACAGAAGCCCAATGCAAAAATGTTTATCGCAGATATTGTTCAATTGAAACAAAAGATGCAGAAACTTGACCACACAAACCAAGCATTTGAAGAAACAAACATGGAGGAAGACTACTTCCAAACGCCCGAACACCTGAAACAGGTTAAAGCCCTTATTGTACAGAATGTTGAGCTGCAGAAAGTAAACAAAAGGCTGATGAACATCACTCTCGGTTACTTGCTGAATGCCGAAAAAACGCCATCAAAAATGGTAACAATAAAGAGCTCAGACTCAGGACCGTCTCATCTCCAGTTGAAATTTCACGATGAAGAGGCTCGTAGTGTTCGAGTGTTCCTCGAAAGCATTGTGGGATTCCTAGAAGTGGCTGTACTGTTTTTAATACCACTGACGCTGCTTGCCTGGCACGAGAGAGCATTGTTGCGGATAGCGGATGAAGTAACAGACCTTGACGTTGAAGAGCAGAGAAGGCTGAATTTGCTGATCAATAACAAGAACACAAAATGTGATATTGTCAGTGAACTGAAAAAGATGCGTGGAGTGACAATCTTTGGGCTGCAAGTTAGTCTTTATAAAGGAGCGTTTATAACGATGCTTGCACCATTCATTACAGTCACATTGCATGTCATGTTTAGTCATTATGGAATCAAGTCCTAGTCATTATAACAATGCAACTTAGGCAGTTCGTTATGTATATAGTTTTCTAATGTGTATGGAGAAAGTTCCTTAGGGACATGCAGATAAATATACGATAGGAAATAGTTAAGGGGCAAATCTGGGAAAATATCCTTCTTTGTGGTTATTTTCATTGAGGTGCATAAATGAGGACGCAACCAGACAACGCCACTGAATTCGCACACACTTGAATTCGTAAAATATTTCATCCTGAAAATTTGTATTTTTGTAAAATTAGCCAAGAAAAGTCAAGAAATAGCTACACTTAATTTGATTTGAAAGTTGATTCGTAATCGTAAAACGTCGTGTAAATAGGCACATATATATGTTATTGTTTATTTTCTTTCGAAAAAAGGTGTCACATTTATTGATTTAGTTCTATACAGAGTTACTAACACTGTTGATGAAAAAACACCACAGAGATAGTATAGACAAGTTTTAGGGACAGAGAGTATACAAGTATACAAGAAATGTAGAATACTGGCGTTACATACCACTTCCTGAAGTCAAATCTAATGGCGAAAATCTGTAAGCAATAGTAGCATGGTTTTCTTCTGAAACTTGTTTAATGGACTAAATCGAACGAAATAGCTTTGATCATAAAGAATGTACCAAAATATTCGAAATAGTTTTGAGCATAGATCAGTAAATGACTTACTAAAAACTTATATTAAATAAAGGAATATCAGTTAGTGGCGATCCATATGTTATTCTAAGGAAAATTAACCTGGTACAAAACACAGCACTGATTCTTTAAAACATACGTACTCAATTCTTTATAATCTCGTGTTATGTTTTTTTTAAAGAATAAATTCACAAGTTACATTCAAACCATTGTTATGATTGTTTAAACTGCGCCCCCTGATCAGTGCTTCAATTTTGTGTTAAAATCTGGAACTCCACTTCAGAGAGATATTGATGACAAACGCAAATCTGAAAAGTTTTACTAAGGGGACTATTCTGATGACAGTTTTTGTGATGTGGAACTGTGATATAATTTAAGTTGCTTAACTCGAATCTTCCTTGAATTTTTATACTAAGTTAATAAATTCAGACAAATGTTTATAGGCGAATGACTCTGTCTCCTGAAGCAAACCTTATTTCAAATTTCATGAACATGTTAAAAAACTGCTTGCAGATATATGCCCTGATAAGAGGGAGTAAGATAGAAGGTCTTGCTCAAATTAATCAACGGCAAATTTAACTTTCTTTTAAACATGCTACCAGGAAATTAATTTCTGGTTAAAGGAGGAATTCTGGCCAGTCAATGTTTAAAGGCGGAGCAAACAATCAAAACGTTAAGGACCCCTTCTTGGTTTTGTGAATCAGTATGATATGTAATCAGATAAGATGATCAAATTTGATCGCAGTTTTAGCAATCATGCTGTAAAATGCTTTAATCACTTCAATGACAGTGTCAAAGCCTGTTCAACAACTATGTTTTGATGTTACTATAACAATGATGCTAAAATTATACATATGGATCATAGACTATACAGTTGTCTCTGGCACACGTGTCATGAATATATTGGTTAAAGCAAACAAAGTCTCGTTTTTGAAATACGCAGTAACCATGGTATCCTTTTGCGGTTCCCAAGTGCATTGGGTGGCAGCCTCGATTCCATCTCCTTGAAGTTCACCAATAAAGCTGAGTACTATGATTTTGAATGCCATATCGGTGACGCTTTTAAGCTTATCGTGAACAGATTTGTTCAGGTTTGTGCAGAGCTCTTTGCAATCCACATGATCGTAATCAACATTCTTTAGTCTCTCTGACAACTCCTGCTCTACAATGATTTTTATTCTAGTTTCCCATTTGTCCTGGTGGTCTCTTCCAGATCGCCTCCTTGAAGCTGAATGTGGTAGTGTCAATACTGGAGTATTATTTGATAGATTATCAGTTATTTCCTCTATTCCATGCCATGTATGCGATCTCTTTCGAGTGTCAGAGACAATCTCGCTTTCATTTGAGCCTACTGAAATGATGTCAGTCTTACAAATGGCTGGTGGAAGAGACGCTGACTTTCCAGCCTTTGCTTTTAGCATTGTTTAGTATTTCGCAAAGCAGGAATAGTCTTGACGTCACAAGCACCTCTGTGTGCACAAATTGATCCAAAATGAAACTTGTTTTCCAGCTGCTCAATGTTGCTCAGCTATTTTAATCTATCGACAACAAAAAGCGACCTTGCGAATAGGGAATCTGCTGTCGCTTTCCAAGATGACCATTAAAGCACTTCCAACTAACGATTCCTGCTACGCACGGCGATTTCTGTTACGCTTCCAGCTAACGATTTCTGTTTCTGTTACATCAACTTGTTTTGAGAAGTGAGCACTTTCATAGAACTGTGAATTCCAATGATCTCCCAGTGTTGCATTCGTTCTATGTCAGTGATTCTTAAACGACTGATCTGTCATATTTATGTCTATTTGTCCTGGTGATAGTTTTCCTTGGTTCCAACAACGTCTACGTTCAATGATTTTGTAAGCTTTATCTATCAGGAATCGTCTCTCTCGAGCTAATCCTGTTCACAAGGATTGTCTCTTGTTGCATTAAAAATCCAGAGGATTGAGAAAGATGGATCCTTCAAATGAATTCCCACGAAACGTTTACCCGCTAAACCAAGCTGCTTGTAGGGTTTAACCAATGCGAACCGTGAAAATTCAGACTTCTGCAATGACTTGATACTTGTTGGCACCGAATCTGAGCTTCTGAGAAATCAAACCCCCTGTTGCAGGAAAGCTGTCCCTGTCAACTCTTTGACCAGTTTCACCAACTTCACTGAGCAATAGCAACTACACCACTGCTCGTTCGTGTATATCGGGTAGGTAAAAAACAGTACAAATCGGACAACAACCAGGTCTTCATAATTATTCAATTATTAAAAAATCTATATAGTTGAAGCATCTGATGGTAGGCAAACATAACTAGTTTATTTAGTCTTCAAAATCGGTATTGGAAATTGAATTGTAATTGGTCCATCTTCTACTGAATGACTGTCATAATAACAACTCGCCAACCTTGATGATCCACAGTGGCCAAAAAGCTCCAGAAAGGCACTGCTGGTCCAGGATGTACCTTATTGCAGGTAACCAACAAAACCTCTTTGTATTACAATTATTGTCCGATATTTTCTAAGGAGAGCTTCGATTATCCATTCTCTATGCTCTACAAATGAGCTGCTTGTGGACGGACCATTATTCTTCCAGGGGTGACATTATTTATATTACCTGTTACCACGTGAAGTCATTTACGTTTTCACTTGCTCTAACATTTGCTGGGACACTACAGGGGGTGAGGGGGAGGGCTAAGATTCGATTTCTATGAAACTTTCGCACCACAATGGGAAATTTGATTCAAGGTAAGCTAATGAGGGACAGATGTCCACTAGGTGTCATGCTTCCTAAAAAGGACCGGTGTTTCTCTAATAGAGGTAATCGCATGATCATCGAAAAAACAGAGGAATGACTTTTGTTGCCAATGCTAAAGGAAGGTTTCATTTGACATAATGTAATAGGGGGGGGGGGCGTGCACAGAACAGCAACAGAGCATATCTTTTACATGACTGAAGAAGCAAAAGCTTATTGTCATAAAAAATTAGCCTTTAGGGTAAAAAGTAGAAAGTTAAAAGAAAATGTGGTCAAAACAGGTAACCTTTCGTTAAGTTTTTTTAAAAAATCTTTCTTTGCACCGAAAACATGATCTTACAGCTTATGGCCGTTTTGGCCTTCCATAGTACTGTCATAGTGATCAAGTCCTTCATGTATCTATAAATCTGCTGATTCCCATTCTATGTATTCACAAAATTAAAGAAAATCCTCTTTTATCTTAGCTGCAGCATTGCATAAGACGTGCCAAGAAATCATGTATTCATTCTTAAACCGCATTTCATCACTGCCTGCCTCAACAGAATTTTTTGCTTTGCTTTCTACCAAATTCTTCATAGGTTGGAAATATTAGTTTGCATTTAAGACAGGCTGTAATATAATTTTTTAAGAACAGTAGATCATACTACGATACATACATTATACATTGAAAATTTAAAAGTTCAAAGGTGTACATAAAAAAGAAAGATATCAAACAGAGGCATGATCCCTGAGGAACCCCACAAGGTCGCTTCGTAATGTCGGTGTTCTGTCCGAGGTCTACTTTTTGACTTCTGTTTCTGCGTTTAAAGCGAAGCTTCTTGAACCTTTTAACCTTGTTGATGCAAAATTCCAACTTCTTTTAAAGAGTTTCACCATCAGAGGCATCATAGAAGTACGTCCCCCCACCCAAACTTCTAACCTGCTAGTTTGCTAGTTTGATAGCTGAGTATTAAAACTAAGTGGACAATCAAAGTTTTACAGCCAACCTATCTATTATTGCCATGATTTTCGTGAAACCAAAAATTTCGACTTGCATGGAGAATATTGTCAACATTATGCCTATGTTTAGACCCTTTGATTGCCAAAATCCCAGCTGTATTGGTGGAACAGGCCCATGTCAATATTTTATTTTTGCACCCCCCTTCCCTACCCCTCACAAATAATCGATTATTGTAGCGGAAAAAATCATTTACCCTCAGCACCAACACTGCCCCTCCTGCCTTAATCTTTTGCATTCTGTGGCGTCACTGAGCATCATAGAAGTATCCCCTCCCCCCACTTCTAACCTGCTTTCAAGTTCGCTAATCAACAGTCGCGTTTATATGCAAATAAATGCACTTTATTTGTTCGTGTTAAAGCCCCGATCTTCAGTCATTTTTAAGAAAATGCAAAAGTACCGGATACAACACGAGATCTTGATTGTTCCTTTGAAAGTATCCACTGTAAGAGCTTCAACACGCCTGCACAAAATTAGAAATTCAAATTTCACCCGTATATAGAAATTGGTACATCCAATAATTCAATCTGCTTATTTCCCTCTTAGTAGCCGATCCTTTTTGTTCATTGTTGAAAAGGCAAATCCTGGCTTCACAAGTGCGCGACATATTTACTGATCAATTCTGCAGCCGTCAAAAAAGCACTTTTTTAGATCGCGGAACCTTTCATGATTTTATTTGCTAATAACAACTTTTGAAAGAATGTGTACCTTGCACAGATATTCGTGTCGAAATGTTGGTTTTATGATTAAGATAGATATCATCTGTTGTTTGTCACTGCTTCCTAACACTGGACACAAACACCTGCAAAGTTATGATTACAATGATTCCAACTAAACGATAAGATAGGCACTGCAAAAAGTATTTGGACATGAATGTCAATTTTTCAGGATTGTATTCAGCCACCCCTCCCCTTTATTTATACAACCTTGATAGCTACAAAACGGAGTAGGATTATATCTATGACGTATTTATCAGCGGCCATGAACCGGCCCCCTCTCTCGACTACCCAAGTATTTACAGTCAAAAATTGTGCGCCTTTTTAACACTGTTCCTTTCTATCTCAAATTTTTTTTTATCGCTAAAATGCCTCTGGAAGATTTAAAAATTTTTTAGGTATAAAGTCAACTATCTTATTTACCACAACATGGTATTGAACATCGAAATTTTAACATAAATTGGACAAGCAAATAGAATTAAATTGCATAATTACGAGGAACCCTTGCGAATCATGATACCAATCTTGCGAATCATGATACCAAAACACTAGCGAATCGTGATACCAATCTGAGTTTGTTTGAAATCCTCTTGGAAATTGGAATACAAAACATCGAATAAGTAAGTTGTAAGTAAGTAAGTTATTTTAAGTAAGTTGGACTGATTTACATTTCCAATTGAATTATCTTACTCTACACATCATCCTCTTCATAACCTCTGGCTCTCTCAATGAAAAGGGCCTTGCTAACAGTTTTAAAGGGTATAGCGTACTGAAGTGTGACGTCATCAAAAATATGTTTCTAGAATTTCTTAATTTTGACCGCACAATCTGAAAGAGCGGCATAAAAATACCATATGGCTATAACGAAATATGGCCAATGAAAGGTTTTAAGTTTGTTAATGGATAACTGTTATTCTGGCCTGGTTCACAAAGTTATGAGCAAAGACCAAATTAAAGAGGTTTGATGGGGCAAGAGCCTATGCTGATGTTGCCATATTTCAGCCAAACACATTCAACTGATAGGTATTTCATAATGCTCTTTGGGATAAATGGTCAAAATTGAACCATTCTAGAAATATATTTTTGTGACGTCATCATTCCGGTTCTCTATGGTCCCAAAAGGTCCTCCAGGAGGCGGGTCTGTTGTGCAAACTTTTGAATAACTTTACGTAAATTTCAATTTTTAAAAAGACAAGATTAATAAAGAGAATGGGAAGTCACTCTAGAACCCTGTAAAGCTGGTTTCCCCTTCAATCCTGCTTGAATGGGTGCGCCTGAATCCTCTTTCTATAGCCTATTACGTTCCCGCCCAACCTGAATAACGTGTGCTAAACTGAAATATCTATGCTTGTATACAATGACAGTTTTGACATGAAAACAGACATTGCTATATAAAACTGTTTGCAGCATCATTTGTTGAAGGGAGAATGTCCGATATCCACCCAGATATCGCGTGCAACATTTATAACGAAGCAACGAAACAAGTTTTACGAAACGATATGGCAATATTCGATTATATTTAATTTAAAGTAACTTGAGAAAGAACTTTGTACGTGAAAAATTTTTTTATCAGGTTAAAACGTAGTAACTATATTTATTTTCATAAACAAAGTCGTTTTTCAAGTTAAGCTGAATTTTTGCTCATCACATTCAAAATGCAGCACACTGGAGTACACTGCATTATTGTCTTGGTATGACCCCCATACTGGCTCCCGTCGCAGGGACATCGATAGTTATTATGTTCAAAGTGTTGTACAGGCTCCATTTGCCGACAAAGCGTAAGAACCATCCTTTATTTGCTGACGGGTCTGAATATTTGCCGACAAAGCACCCCCTGATGCAAGGCCGCGGTCACACTGTACTTTTCCAAGCATCCTTTTTGCTAATCCGTATTTGTTCTTACATCATGCGACCGGTCACACATGATTTTTTATAAGGATGCTTTAGTACCCTCAAGGAATTAATAG